CTGTAAACTGCTTGCCTAGTCAGATACAACAGCGACAAGATGACAGCAACGACGAGTTTCTTTGATCGTTTCCGAATGGATTGTTTGTTGTGTTGCGTAGTGAGGGAAGTCATGAAGTTCACGACGTGAAAGGAGATAGAGAGTGCGGTAACTTCGCGAGCCGTATTCTCGAACAGTCGTGACATGAGCTCATGCTAGTGCTCGAGCCCTTAACCCGCATTATAATGAGAAAAAATCTCATGATATACGCACTAGTAGACAAACCTCCGCAGAACACATGTACGCGTAACAGTTTGATGCCTTACTTGAGCGCGCAACGTATGAGCATACGTAGTTGAATTTTCGGCGAAGAAGTGCCTCCTCTCATCCTCGACCCCGGGACGACCCCTCAAGAACTGACTCAGTCATGCTGCTCGGCTAACTAACCTAGCAACCTGCTTGTAAATTATAGCAGGTAAGATTCTTACCGTAAGAGAAGTGCCCGGGGAGCGCAAGCCGAGGAGCAGAGTGAAACTGACAAGCCTCCGCAGTCCTTTACAGCATGCAGGTTTCAAGGGCCGAAGTTGGCACTATCAGTGTGAGTAACAGATTTGAGCACCTCAATTGGCGATATCTGTAATACATACCATATTCGAACGCCTCAGCATATATCTAGCGGCATATCGCCAACTCTCGGTGAAATCTGCATTTCACTGGTATTACGCCAAAGATTAGGCAAAACACGTCATAGTGTTGGCCAAACCTGCGAGTTCCACCAAACTTTTGGCGATTCCCCGGCCTAGCGCAGATTCCAGCGACCCAAGGTTGGCGAAACCTGGATCCAAGCGCAGAATAGATCACCTCGGCGAGCGGACTTGGCGGCCAATTCCGGGCAGATTTCAGCGGATGCGCTGAATTCTGCACGGCGAGCCGACCAGCTTGGCGAAATCCCGTAAAACCCTGGTCGTATCACACATATCGCCAAGTTGTTTAAATTTCCTAGATACAAGGAATCGCCAGAGTTGGTGAGTTGGCGAAACCTGGTGCTCCGGCAGGTTTCGCCAAGTAACTACCGCACAGATAACGCGGTCAGAATGGTTACACCATACAAGTTGTCAATTTCGACACTAGATCCTGCGATACGGCATGCCTGAGCCGTCAGAGCCGAGGAAGGAGCTCGAGCTGAGTAGTAGTAATAGTAGTAGTAGTAGTAGTAGTAGTAGTAGTAGTAGTAGTAGTAGTAGTAGTAGTAGTAGTAGTAGCAGTAGTAGTAGTAGCACCACCGTGCTGCCTTACAGGTGTCCAGCGTATATGGTTAGTACAGTGGATGTCTTCAAGGGAGCAGGTAGTGGTAGTCCCCTATAGTGGATCTGGTCTACAGCTGGCCACTCTAGACCCTAGAGCTTTCAAGTATCAGTCTGGTCGGGCATTAGTACGTGCCCTAGGGTCGGGGGAAGGAGGGGGAGGGGTTGCTGGAGGTGTAGGAGGAGCTGGGGGCGGCGGATTAGGGTTGTAAGAGAATCTCTCAAAGAGATAAGTGACAACATGACAGGTGCAGGGATCGAACCTGGGGCCTCTGGCTTTCGTAGTACTGATACTATTATTCTGATGCCTTCGACACATGCATTGATGCAACTAATGTTGCGTAATGGACTTTTTCACACAGGAAGAAGTTGCGTTAGTCGTCATGGGATGGGAGGCATTCGGAGAGTTGGCACTACCGTCGTGATGATGTCACAAGTACCGGAAGACCGGCAGGGCAGGGCCAAGAGCCCCTCCTTGGCCCGGTTGGAGTCTATTGCGAAGAAGCACCCTGAGAACCCTCTGAAGTGGCTAGAGGAGCTGAGGCGAGTCACGCCACTAGAGGGAGTGGGTAGGTCCTTGTAATAGGTCCTTGCAAAGAAGTGGCAAAGGCGTGGTACCAAAGTCTGCTGGAAATGACCGTAGTCTGACGAACTTATTCACTCACGCCCAACGGAGAGTAGCGGCAGCCATTGCACATAGAGGCCGGTGGGACTACCCACGGGGTGATGTGAAGAAGTGATGGTCATTACAGGGCTACCCAACAGAAGTCCAGCAGTGGGAGGAGCATGTCCTCCCGTCCCCTCACTGCTAGCATGCCTAATGTCAATACAGCATCCCCTAGTCTTCCCCGGGCAGTTGACCTAGCTATGGTAGGTCCCACTCTCCTCTCGGTCGGCTTATGCATCGGACCAATCAGACTGGCCCGGCCTCCTCCCGAGCGGTGGTGGAAGAGTCGCGAGCAGCTGAACTATGCCAGCTGCCGCCTCTCCCCACTGCCCTGCCCAAGGTCCTACCGTCAAGCGTGAGTCGTGGTGAGGGTAGAGTACCTGCCTTGGACCTGGCCAAGGCTGGGCCTATCTCCACGCTGCCTCTGGCTAACAGTGCGTGTCACTCGAATAGGGTTCTCCCTACTGGAGGGACGCTGACCAGGTCGGGGAGTAGGGGGGCGTCGGGATGAGAAGGAATAGTGGTCAGGTCCTCGAGACGACTGCACCTTCGGAAGTCTTGCCGAGCATCTGCTGGCCAACCGACGTGCTCCTCTACTGCGACGCGAGATCGGTCCACTAGGGCGAACACCCCCTCTTCCCAGCGGGCCTCGTTGAGCATTCACGGTGGGCTGCCGGCTGGGGCTGGTTATAGTCCATACCACTCCTCTTAGGAATCATCGGTGAAGAAGGCCTGCCATCGGCACTATTGCCCAGCACTACGAGCAGGGACCCAAGGAGAGAGTTAAAGGAGGAGGCGCAAGTAAGCCCTGTTCGGCTTTTCGATACCACTCCTTTGTCTCACCAGCTCGTCGGGGAGCTGGCCTTCCTCGGGGACCTCAGCTGCCTCGCTAAGCTCCATCACCAGAGGGAATTGTTCGCTCAAGTCGACAGAGAGCTGTACCGGATGGATGAGCCCTCCTTTACCCCACAAGGGGAGTCCTTGGCCTCTCCAAGGCAGCGTCGACTTGGCCCCTGTGAGGTCCGCCGGCCCAGCGAGTGGGGGGAGGTACGACGGCTACTACTGACAATGCTGGGGAAAGTCTCTGTGGACAAGCTGCCGATCCCGCTACTGTGGGACTTGCTGGTCCCTGGTCTTGAGACCCTCCCCATCCCTCTCCTCATGGCAACAGACTGCGAGACCAGCAGCGTTGTAGTCGAGACGGAAATGGAGGAGTGCCCGTGTATGCAGCGGGCCGAGCCATGCCTGTGTCTGAGCCCAGGGGAGTGG